TAGCTTTGCTACCATCTAAGCTCAGAATGGGACAGTTTGCCATAGCCAACTCACTATAGTCAACTCTGCATGGGACAGTTCAACAAATACAAAGTTAAATTAATTTTGATGGGCCCATGGCCAATAATAAAATAAAGTCAATTCATAAATACAAGAGTTACAATAATTTTGATGAAAACGTGGCCAACAATAATAAAAGAACTGAATGAAATGATTAATACAGCATTGAATTGTCCTGTGGCAAGTTGAATATGGCAAGTTGTCCTGGGCAGGTTGGTCCTGACAAATTGGTTTAGACCCACCTCGGTTCTAATGCAACCATTTTGCATAAGGCTGTTTTGGATGGTACCATATCTAAAGTATCCACTGTGTAAAAACATATATACAAAAATCACATTAACCATCTGAAAGGAGAGCTTAAGGTTCTTGGAACACGTCACAACCCCACTTTCATTAGATTCTTCTGTTGGTTGATCTCCAATGAGTCTATCCTTTCAATAATTCCTGAGATTCTTAACTCTTCTCTGCAGCCAAAAACAAGCCTTCCTCCTATAATGAGATATTATAGTGAGATATTATTTAAGAATCTGTCTCTGGGCCTGATCAGTGTTAACAGCTATGGATGATATCCAATACACTATTAATCCAGCTCTTGGAAAATGCAGTAGCATTGTAATTTAGGAGCAGGGGTGTCAAACTGGTGGCCCATGGTCTGGATGCAACATTTGCAGGCCAGCTCCATTAATGAGAAAAACGTCACAAAACATCATGTGATGGCAATGTGTTGTGGCAAGTTTGACACCCATGTCTTAGTGGAAGCAAATTATTTAAAACCTTCCTGGTTTAGATTAAGAGCAGAATCCGCCATGGGGACAACCTTGATTATATTGACAAAGACTTGAGGTCAAATAATTAGAGATATACAAATCTGATTATATTTCTGGATTTCTCAGTTGCTTTTAACACTATGATCATGATGTTCCATATATATTTTTGAGAGAACTGGGAATTAAAAGTTCCACTCTTTTCTCTATAGGCATTTTTTAAAGATTGTACTGGAATAATTCTCTTTGACTGACCTTATTGTCCTGAAGTCATGCATTTGTATTATTTAGTATTTGTTTCACAATGCCTGGAAGATCATATCAGGGTTTAGTTGGCACCAAAATGCTAATATTCAACTGTGCTTCTTTTTTTTCCTGTAAGCTAGGTGTTGTACATTTCACAAGCCTCTACGTGTATTTAGAGTTTGAAGTTTGGTGAGCAAGTTGAAGATGAAGTTATGCAAGTAGGAATTGAGGCTGGTTTCAGGGGTAGAGAAGCTGATATCAGGATTTGGAATGATAGACTTGCTTGGGATGAAATTACACTTTCCCTTAATGATCAGATTATATTTAGGAATCCTTCTGGACCCAGCTTTGATGCTGGACAACCACATAAGATCTCTAGAAAAGAGGGCTTTTATCAACTTTGGACAGCAACCCAGTTGTGTCCTTCTGTAAAATAGTGCTACTGGAATAACATAAATTAGGAGGAACTATGGAATCCATGATTACAGAGGCTTAACCATCTGTTTCTGTTTATGAACACCTCACCAATGTATGAGAATGGTATTCTTGAAATTTCTTTCAAGAAGCCCAAAGCAGTCTTTGCTACTCTGCCTTCAAAATGGATGCCAGGGGTATAGGAGGTAGTGGCAAACCTGCTCTATAATTAAACTAGCATTCCAGAAATGTTGCCCAAAGTAAACCTTGGGCAAGTAGCTAAATGGTCTGAGCCAGCAATAATAACTACATGTTCACCATTCACCATTAGCAATTCAACAACTCTGCTGGTCAACAAATTATCTGGCATTTTACTGACAGTTGAGATGGTAAAACAATTAGCATCGCCAGCACTCTTTAAATTATTCCTTTCATCCTAAACCCAGAGGAGGATGTTACAGTGTTTGCTTTTGCTCATTATCTTACCCAAATGTTTAAGCAGTCAAGGAAGGTGCTCGTTGAAGTGTGACTTGACATTTACTTGTATTTTGTTTCCCCATGGTGCACCTTTGGTTCACATTTGTCTGGCATCCTGCCTTGTGTATTGGGTTTACTTTATGAGAGATTTCCTTTTTCCTGACCCAGGATGAGAATCTTACGTTGTTTGTTTGGAATTATCCCATCATATCATGTAATGCGTTCTGGGGGCCTTTTTAGTCACCTCCTTGCCAGAATTTTTATAAATGATATTAAAATTGGGGTGAGGGGAGAGGAAGAGGAAGATAAATTCTTCAGCTGTCTTCTCTTCCAGTTCGAAATTCTAACTGGAAATCCTTCATTATGCATTGATACTGAGAATGCACTGTTAGGAGTAGCCATGTGTACTCCTAACAGTGACCAGAAATAGTTATTTATGCATGAAGCTGAAGCTTCTATGCCTGACTGACTGATAATGTTCTCCCCCCTAACGGCTGTTGCTGCTTATGTTCCAAATATACTATTTTTGCCTTGTTTGTGGAAACTTATTTTCACTGGGTACTGCAAAGGCCGTACTGGGTACTGCCACCAGACTTGAAATTCTAGACCTAGAAAACCTAGAACTATGCCGCCTTCGGTCCGATCTAAGTATAGTATATAAAATCATATATTGCAATGTCCTACCTGTCAATGAATACTTCAGCTTCAACCATAACAACACAAGAGCAAACAACAGATACAAACTCAAGGTTAATCGTACCAAACTTGATTGCAGGAAATACGATTTCAGCAACAGAATGGGTCGATGTCTGGAATACTCTACCTGACTCTGTAGTTTCTCCCCCCAACCCCCAAAACTTTAACCTTAGACTGTCTACTATTGACCTCACCCCTTTCCTAAGAGGTCTGTAGGGGGCGTGCATAAGCACACCAACGTGCCTACCATCCCTGTCCTATTGTTTCTTTTATTTTTCTATTTTTCTTATATGTATCCATGTATTCATAACTATATTTTTACTTATACCTATTATCTTGTAAGCAATTGACTAAATAAATAAATAAACAAACAAACAAACAAATAAATAAATAAATAACACGAGGGAGGGAATGGGAGTCACTTTCAAACGTGAGGAATCACTCCTCCTGGATAGCAAATTATAGACATTCCACTGAACTGCACTGAGATGTATTACTACTATTGCACCCTTGGGTTGTTTTAAAATTATTTTTACTCAGTCAATCCTGGAATTGGACTTTTCTGGAATTGATGCAGTTATCGTGTATCGGAGAAGTGATTTGGAAGTCCTTATTACTTGGCAATGAGTCCCCTCAATGTAAAAACAGCACATTGTTCAGTTTGGATTTTAAATGACTGTTATCTTTAAATGTGGTTTCTCTTCCCCCCCCCCCCCCCCCCCCCCCCCACTAAGTCCCCTTCCTTCTACTTAAATTACTTGCAGTCACAGCAAAAAAAAAAATGATGACTTTGAAATAAGGGAAGTAACAATGTGTGTCTGGATTCAGGTGTGATGATTTAAAGTTTGGTTTGTTCTATTGTTCCATTTCCAAAGACTATGCAGTTTTTCACAAGTATTATAGTTTGCTTAAGACTTATGGCAATTATGTTCTTTCACTTGTAAATGGCTATTTCTGTGGGGGGGGGGAGGGGAAACAGTGTTATTACCATCATTGTTCTTTATGAAATTTTTTATATGAAATTCTCCCATAGTCCTCACACAGTTTGAAATAGTTCTTATATATATTTATTGTTATCTCTGCTTCTGGCTGTGAAAGTAGAACACCACGGACTGAGAGAAAACTGTTTTGCAGGATGAAGACAGTCATCTATTTTATGGATTTAATGGGTATTTTATTGCAGTTATTGCAAGCCGTTTGAGCCACAAGTAGTAGCATACAAATAATTGTAAACAAGTAAATTTTCTAGCTCAGGATGGCGTTATCTGCATTTTGTTCTTTAACCTGTTTTAACTCCATACAGTAGGGCCTACTCTGTTCAGGGTTCTATGACAAAAAGATAGAGAAATCACCCTGAAGATATTGTTTCCAATCACAGCTCTTTGTTAAGAGGTTAATTTTCTTCTGTTTAGTCAGGGGTGTCAAACTGGATTTCTTTTTGGCTGGCAGAGTGCTGCAGGAGGCCATGGAGGTCAAAAACGGGCCACGTGGAAGTTGCATGCACCTCCTCCTCAGCCTACTTCAGCTGGTCCTGCAGGCCAGATCTAAGCATCCCTGAGTTTAATTGTATCATATTCTGAGAGACTGCCTGGACAAGTCCCTGCAAGGTTCTTCAGAAGTGGTGTTCTATAGCCTCTTTTCTGGGCCTGAGAGAGAGACCGCTAGCCCAAGTTCCCGTAGTTGGCTTTGTGTCTAAGGTGGGCCTAGAACCAGGGGTGGGATTCAAAAATCCCAACAACTGATTCACTGCCTAGTTGCTGGGTGGGTGTGGCCATGGTGGGCGTGGCCCATTGGAACTTCTGGGAGTGCTGTCTTTCACCTTCCCAAGGATCCAGAGGCTTCCCTTGGGCCTTTGCAAGGGCAAAAACGGCCTCTCCTGGGCTCTGGGTGCCCTCCAGAAGCCAGAAACAGGCCCATTTTTGGACTTCGGGTACTTCCAGGAGGACCATTCCCCGCCCCCCCCCGAGCCTCTGCATGGACCCTGCACTTACCTGCATCATAAATGGGTGTCATGAAGACTCCTGGGAGGGGAGGGGCAGGGTGGATGAAGCCAGCTAGTCAGTTCAAATACCAGTTCAACAAACCAGATGCAAATTTAACATCCAGTTCACCTGAACTGGTCCAAACCGGTAGAATCCCACCCCTGCCTATAACACATGATCTCCTAGATTCTAGTCTGGTGCCTTAATCTCTACACCAAATTGGCTCTCCTCGTAAGGATTATATGCATTCAATATAAAAATAGAAAAGATCATATCACATTTACAAAGCTACTAAAAGTAATAAAGAGATGTTTATTTTATAACCCATACAATTTCAGGGTTTTTTTCCTTTCTTTTGTAGATGATGGGCCTTATTCGAAAGGAAGCAAAGACTCAGGTGGATTGGATACCACGTTGGTCTCAAGAAGGCAGAGTATACCGGGTAACTTCATTTATTGTCTTACTTGTGAGCATTTATTCAATTTGCTTTGCTAACATATAGACGGGTAATTTTTTTTTATTTCATTTCATGGCTTATTACAATAAGGGAAGACAGATTTCACCCTGGTAGGCGTTATCTCTCTATCTCTCTATCTATCTATCTATCTATCTATCTATCTATCTATCTATCTATCTATCTCTATCTTTACTACAACTCTGAGATTCATCACCCAGAACAGGAGGCAAACTGGATATTCTCAGAATTTTAAATTCATCATTTGGAAATTTTTTGAGTTGTAGAATTTAAGAGGATTTTCTGTTCTTTTATGTAGAGATCTACATCTCTTGCTCCCCCAACCACCCCTCTCTCTGCTCTTTCCTTTCAAAACAGGACAACTGAAGCCATTTTGCAGTCAGGAATACTTGTACAATATATCACACAGATATCTGTCTACTCTATTGTATGACAACTCTCCTCTTAAATCATTATCAAATTCTGATCTACATTGTTAAACTTGAATTTGCAGAAAGGATCAGAGCCGGATGAAGAGGCATTTAACATAAGAGTTTTCTATCTATAATTAACCTGTGTGTTTAAATAAATAAATGCACTAAGGTTAATGACTTATGAGTAGTAGTTTGCATAAAGTTTGTAGAAACGTATGGATTCAGAACACCATGTAGTAGAAAGTCTTCCAAATTTTTTGATAATGCTTTATGTATCCTAAGGTTGAGAAGTAGCCTAAAAAAAAGAATAGCCCAGTTAAATCTAGTCTAGTTTTGTTCTGATTTAGCATGATGTTCCCACAGTGACCATTTGAAGCCACAAGCAGAATAAGATTACAGTAACATTTTCTGACTCTTTACAGCAACAGATATACTGACTGATTCTGTTGCTGCAGGGGATAAACATCACGCCATCATAAGATAAATAACCTGATTATCCTATCCTTACTAATTTATCTAACTTCCTTTGAAAGCTATCACAAATCAGCATTAATTCTGGTAGATCTGTTGCATGCGAAACATTGCCTTTTATTTACCCATAGGAATCTTAACTTAGGACTGTCATGACTTACAACAGAAATTCCAGGCTCCATTACTGTTGTAAGTAAAGGACTACCTTTATCTGTACTTTGAAGAAGGAGGTGAAGACAAAAACCCTTTCCTGTCTTTGTTCCCTTCAATTGGAGTTTGGGGCATGATATCTTTATGGTCAAGCTCTTTGACAGATGAATTTCTCCATCCTCTTTTAAAGCCATCCAAGTTAATGTTTTTCACCATTTCATGGGGTAATTATCTGCACAGTGTAATTATGAAGTACATAAAGAAATGGTGTGGTTTGGTTTGATCTGTTCTGGATCTCCTTTCAGATTCATGGGATGACCTAATGTTTGAGAGAGGGAGAATGTTTGTTTGTCTGTCTTTGTTCATGATTTTATACGTACAGGTCATTTCCTAGCATAGTTGTCTTTAAACAGTCAGAAATGTTTCATCTTTTTCTTTTGGTAGAGAAGGTATTTAAGCCTCTGTTTATTTTGATTTCCTGCGGCTTCATTTTTCCCAGAACTATTATACAGTTTTAGAATACAGTAGCCATACTTTATATAGATGAACCATATCCTTGTGTAATTCTATATATATATATGTGATTGTATCTTTATGGTATATTTATATTTGCTATATGTTCGTCTAAGTCCAGCTATCTTAAAGAGGCAAGCCATATTGGTCGTATAGTAAGCTGCAGGTCCTAGGCTGTATCAAGAGAGGGATAGTTTCAAGATCATCTGAAGCGTTGGTACCAATTTATACTGCACTGGTAAGACCACACTTGGAATACAGTTTTGGTTATCAGGTTACAAAAAAGATGTTGAGACTCTAGAAAAAGTGCAGAAAAGAGCAGCAAAGATGATTAGGAGACTGGAAGCTAAAGCATACCATGAACAGTTGTGGGAACTGGGTATGACTAGTCTAATGAAAAAAAGAAAAGGGGATGACATGATATAAGTCTTCCAATATTTGAGGAGCTGTCACAGAGAAGAAGGGGTTGACCTATTTTCCAAAGTACCTGAGGGCATAACAAGAAGTAACAGACGGAAGATTATCAAAGAGAGATCCAACCTAGAATTAAGAGAAATTTCCTGTCAGTGAAAACAATCATGAGTTGCCTTTAGAAGTTGAGGGTGCTCCATCACTGGAGGTTTTTGAGAAGAGATTGGACAGCCATTTGTCTGAAATAGTATACGGTCTTCTGCTTGAGTAAGGGATTGGACTAGAAGTCTTCCAAGGTCCCTTCCAAACCTGTTATTCCATACTCCCATTTAGGGGTCTAGAACTGTGTTTCTCAACCACAATAACTTTAAGATGTGTGGAGTTCAACTCCTAGAGAACTGTCTAAAAAAGAAGTACAGGGATAGGGGAGGGGGAGGGACAAAGAAACACATGCTGCCATATTTAGCCAGGGAGAATTTTGCCAAACTCTGGAAATGCCATATTGGGTGTCATTGTAGTTTAGCTGTTTACAAAGAGGAGGGGGAAAGTTGCTGCGTAGCCTAAATTTCTAAATCTCCTCTATCTAATTTGGGTGTTTTCAGGTTTGGATTGTGCTGCTGATGTTAAGCTTTTTTTTACAACGGAAATGTAATTGGCATTGATTTGATAGCATTCTATACCCTTTAGTTGCTATGACCCCAGCTAAGGGGACATTTTTATGGAAGTGCAAGATGCAGATGGAAATAGAGCAGGAACTCGTCACTGAATAATGGAACCGTGAAAGATGCAACATTCCTCACTTAAAAGATAGTCTGACTTTAACATTAAGAGTAAAGGTGACAAGTACTATATAATAGATAACCCAGAATATTTATCCCTTTCCAGTGTTATCATATATATTTGAGGGTTTACCACAGCACTGTTATTACAAGTATTGTGTGGAACAGTGTTTTTTTCAAATGTGTCCATGCTGAGGCTACCTGCAACTGGATTGTGTTGGAATGCTATAAAAGTATCTCTGTATCAGCCATGGTTGCACAGGTGGCTCGAATGCCTGTGAAATGGTAATATCAATAGAATGATTATGTAAACTCAGCTCTTAAAAACCAGTGGAAGTAATTGGCAGATATGAACATAGAGTCCCATATGGCAAACTGTATCAGATGAAGCAGTCTTACCACGGTTGGTGCCCAAAGCAATGATCAATCAATAAATAAACCAAAAAAAAGGGAGAAGACAGAAGAAAATGCTGCTGATGAAAGGAGGGGCAGCTGCCTCACCCACTTTTTTGTTGTTGTTTCAGTTCTTCAATGGCTGATCAAATAAAAGCTGTTTAAACCTATTCTATGCTGGCTAGGGAATTCTGGAAGTTGAAGTCCAAACATTTAAAGTTGCCAAGTTTGAAAAAAGATGGTGTAGAATATGTTAATAGAATATGATGCTTTGGCAGCAATTGATGTAATGCTGCTTCAGCTTTTCATCATCAGGGGTACAATAATAAATAAGTAAAGATAAAAGTTTCCTCTATCCAATCATTTCCAACTCTAGGGGGCAGTGCTCATCTCTTTATTTAACTGAGGAAGCCAGCATTATCCAAAGACATTTCTGTGATCATGAGGCCAGCATGACTATACACCCAAAGGAGCATGGAACACTGTTACCACTTCCTACCAAAGTGTTTAGCTACTTATCTACAAGTGTTTATCTACTTCCTACCAAAGTGTTTATCTATTTATCTACTCATATTTGCATGCTTTCAAACTGCTAGGTAGACAGGAGCTAGGGCAAATAAGGGGAGCTCTCTTCATTGCACAGTGTTTGGGTCTCGAATCCAGGTTGTCAGTTTTCCAGCTGACAAGCTCAGTGTCTTTAACCACTCAGCCACTGTGCCTTCCCTCTCCAATAATAAATAGTCCTCACTTTTTATTCAAGGCAACTTCATCCCTCACAGATGCCTTAATCACTTCTGTAGCCAGTGAACAGGTCCTATTGTTAAAGCAATGTGAGACTTGTAGAAGGCTTTTGCCTATGGTAATGTGTGCCTTCTGGAAAACTAACCCTGAAGTTGATGACTTGGCCTCTTTCAGCAGGGCCTTGTTTTTGATCTGACTCCTATATATATTCTGTACTGCTTTGTAATGGGTCACCCCATTTGCCCCAATGTGATTGATAATCTTACTATTTATTGTCATTTCACCTTTTCATTTGTTGTTTTAATCCTAACTATTATTCATATTTTGCCAACTAGCTGGAGTTGTGATGGTAACTGAGACAGACTAGAAGTTTGATTAAATAAATAAAACAAATTAGGGAAATAGACTTACTACTTCCAAATAGCTTGTTCATGTCCTCAGATTTAGATTGCACAAGTTAAAAAGGATGCCTAACCATATGGTTAAGCTCAGAATGGATGGATGAATGGATGAATGGATACGCTAATCAATCTAAAAAAAGAATTCCTTTTATAGCTGAAAAAGGTTTAATGGAGCAGCACTACAGAATAAAATTTTAAAAATGTGGATTTTTTGTGTTTGATCGTTTTATGTACAAGTCTTTTGTCAGGAATTATAATCAGCCTTCCTGTCATATCATCACCTTCGGCTCCTCAGAATACTAGAACTCTATGTTTGTATAATTGGAACAAAAATATTTGGAATCAGCCATGTTTCCAAAGCAGATTTTCCCATGTGACAAAGAAGTTTCTTTCTCTTCCTATTTTTTTTTTTTTTGCTTATTCTTCTTAGTTGCTGCCTTTTACAGATACACAATATTATATAGTACATATTTATATGCTATTTTCTTTTCAATAGAGATATTGTTATCATGAATTACTTTGCTGGATTGTCTTTAATCTGCATAGTCTGTTTAATTTTATTAATAATTTTGCTATTGAAGTCTTCAGATGTACATTTCTGTAAGTTTTCTTGAATGCCTCCTCTTCCAGAAATCAAAAGACGAGATCTAAATGCTCTGATATAATAATAATCTATATGCTTCAATATAAATGGTCCAATTTAATAATAAAAATCCTGTGCTATGGATTGTTCTCTCTTTGTATCATCAGAAGAATTTAGAGGAGTCACAATTGTGGAGCTAATCAAAAAAGAAGGAAGCACCCTCGGATTAACTATAGCTGGTGGCACAGATAAAGATGGGAAACCGAGGGTCTCTAATCTAAGGCCAGGAGGACTGGCAGCAAGGTAAGATAATTACAAATGCAGAGTTTCTCAGTCACAAGTTTGGGGAATAAAATGTACAGCAAGAGTAAACTAGCAAGTCAGATAGTCAATAAAACATCAAATGGCAAACATCAAGCTTAAGTGATATTTTTTTAGAAGTCCTCAATCATCCTTTGGGACAATCATGGTTGTCCCAAAGGTGCTTTTTCAGGAGGCAACCAGACCTTCCTGTTCCTTCCCTGATGACACTTCACTTCTCATCCAAGAAGCCCTTTCAGCCATGACAGGGCGGTGGGGAAGGGAAGGATCCATATTCCTTGCAGACAGCTGGCAATTATTGGGATGCAAATTACCAGCTGTCTGAAAGGACTACAAGTCCCCCTGGGAAGACATATTTCACTTAATTTCTTGGTAGGTATGTAGTGTTTAAGGGGCATTGCATTTTGAGCTTCTTGTTAGAATGACTTATTCCTTCCAACTAAGACTAGTTCTGCAGATAGGATTTAAGAGTGAACATCATAACTCCTTTTATTTTCTCTGTTCTCGTGTATATTTGTTTTTTTAAAAAATGATGGACACCTCAGGTATTAAGTAAGATTTGTTTGTTTGTTTTGCTCTGCATGTTGTTTACTGTAGAGTTCTTTCTATTTAGATAGTCAATAAAGATATAATCAGAGCTGATCCAAGAATTTTTGGTGTCTGGAAAGAACAATAATCTACTTCGGGTCTGCTTATGGGGTTTATATAATTGAATGTACCCTTCAATAAAGACAACAGGCAGAGAATTTAAAGCAAAAATAATATAACTGTCTCTCTACTTCTATTTACTGAGACAATTGCCTCAAGACTATAATGTCTGGCCCTGGAAAGAACTGAGATATTTTGTTTTATATGTTACAGGAGTGATCAGCTAAACGTTGGCGATTACATCAAGTCAGTGAATGGAATTAACTTGACAAAATTGCGACATGATGAAATTATAAGTCTACTGAAGAATGTGGGAGAAAGGGTAATATTAGAAGTAGAATATGAACTACCACTAGCTGGTTAGTATATCCTTAATAAAGCTTTATGATTCAGTGATTTAAGATTAGCTGACCTTCGTATCCTTTCCACTTCTTTCCTATTGTGAAGAAACATACAAACCCATGAATAGAATAGAATAGAACAGAACAGAACAGAACAGAACAGAATAGAATAGAATAGAATAGAATAGAATAGAATAGAATAGAATAG